GCCATACATCAATAATACTTAAAGCTTTACATCAATAATACTTAAAGTCTTACAAAAGTCAATGAACACAGCCACTGTGTTAAGTTTCTGATAAACTGCTGCAGTTCCACAAACTCCATCACAGCTAAAGTTGTGGGGTAGTTGTTTCTGAAACCATGCTGTTGATCATTTAATTTATTGCTTTTATCAAGAAAGGAGTCCAGCTTTTTTAAAAAAGATTATTTCCAGAATTTTAGAAAATTGTAGTAGCAATAATATAGGTCTATAATTTGTTAAAAGTTGCTTATCACCACTTTCTTTCACAATAGCCATATCAATAGTCTTTGGATTTCTTATTTTTAAAGTTTTTAGCTACTTTTATGACCTCACTTTCACTCACTCTTCCAAGAAACATTGTGTTAATATGCTGGTGAAGATTCTCAGTCATCCAGGACATGATGAATTCAAAAAGTGTTCAATACATAAACAACTGGACTTTATTTGTAACAGAAGACGTTGTGTTAATATTATTAAATGCATAATTGAGTTTTTCATCTCTAACTTTTGGCAACTCATTTACTAAATTACGAACAGTATTAACAAAGAACTGATTGAAGACTTTAACAATGTCCTCTATATTTTTTGTGACGTTATTATGCTTAATACATATTGGGAAATCTCTGTCTTTATAATTTTTAATTACATAATTTATTATTTTCCAAGTACCCTTAATATCATTTCTGTATTTTTGCAATAGCCTATCATAATAATACATTTGCCTTCTTAGCAATGATGTTAATTTGTTTGATATTTTTTCTTCTTTTCCTGGGTTGGGCACCTAATAAAATCCTTATATAACTTGTTTTTCTTTTTACATGTGCAGATCTGTTGGTATACAGTAAATGTAAAAGTCACCATGTGAATAAATAATAATTAATATTAATAATAATAAATATATAATATTAACTTCCCGTTCGACCTTGAAGGATATTCTCCATATTTGATTAAACCCGCCCACCACAGAGCCCGCCTGACCTTTCCGCCAATCAGAAACTTAAGAGTTTCATGCCCCGCCCCTTTGTAATCATAGATTAGCCAATAGCCTTCAAGAAAAAGTACGTGACATGACTGACGGGTAGATCCACCAATCAGGAACCGCATTTACTAAGCTTCCGTCTTCTTCGTGGTTCTGGGTTGTACATCCGGTTCTGCAGTCCTCCTGGAAGACACAACGTGAGTAACGTTATCTTAGTTCTTTTGTATTTAACGGGCCGCCTCTGTTAGCAGCAGCAGCTAGCTGGTATGAACGCGGTTCTTTCGTGCCGGTGGTTCCGCCCAGTGAGGAGTGTGAGGCTGCAGCTGATGAAGGCTGGACTGCTTCCTGTGTTCATTCATTACCTGAGACCGCTGCACACCTGCAGCGTCAAAGCAGCCATAACGTTATGACCACCGACAGGTGAATAAACCATGACTCCCTGGTTACCATGGCAGCAGACAGTGGGTGGGGCTTATCAGACAGGAAGGTAATCTGAAGCAGAACAAATGATCATCATAAAGATTTGATTTGTCCAGAACCGAACTGTGCTGGTACGCTGGGTCAGAACATGTCCACCTGCAGCTCTGTGGTCAGCATAGAACCAACAAGGTCCAAGGAAGCGCTGCAGAACCAGAGAACTGAAGGCTGGTGTTCTGATCCGATAGAAGAGCAGCTCCTGCTGGTTCTGACAGAACCTGCAGAGGTTCCCTGTTTGCTGGGTCTGCAGCTGCAAACAGGTCCACCACCCTGGGGTCCTACAAGAGACCCATAAGAACTGGACCACAGGTCGGGTCCACGAACTTTGGCAGAGTTCTGCTGGGACCATATAGTCTCGGTCCAGTTGAGCATCTGTTCTGGTCTCTGGTCCACGGAGGACCCTCACAGCTCCTGGTCAGAACCAGAAACACTGGAGACCTTGCAGGGACCACAGGAGTTCTGGAGAAGATGGGTTGTGGGGTAGGGGTTCTGTTGGACCAGAAACCCAACTGTCTCTTCAGGACCTCCTGTCTTCTGATGACTCAGGTCTGGAGGACATATGGACACTTAAGAGGGACAAATTAAGACCAGAGGAAGTTTTGTTCGTTCCCGTCTCTAACTTCATCTTTTTGTTTGCTCAGAATGGGCGGAGTCCTGGCTGCCAGTGCCCCGCCCCCAGTCGCCGGCAGCCCTGCACCATCTGGGCTAACGGTGCCGCCGGGCTTCGGGGTGCCTTCGGTATCCTCAGTTGTCCCCCCGACTGGAGCGACCCTCGGACGTCAGCAGGAAGTGGACAGCCCCCTGCCCAACCCCGGAGCGTTTGACGAGTGCCACCGGAAATGTAAAGGTGGGCGGAGCCAATCAGTGGAGCACAAACAAACAGCTGAAGACGTAAACAACTTGTTTTGTTTTTCTCCCCAGAGGTGTTTCCTTTGCAGATGGAAGGCGTCCGAGTCGTCGTCAACAAGGGCCTCAGTAACCACTTCCAGGTGAGTCCGGTTCAAACCCCAACCGGTTTCTGCTCCGGTTCCTCTCCTAGTGACCTGTTCAACGAGGAACTGATCAACTTTTAGTAAGTCTCCACCTCAACAGCTTCGAGATGATCCATAGTTCGGTTCAAATTTTATGACCTGGCAACTTTTGTTTACAAGAGTGATGGCTAACTCCAGCCTTGAAGTCAAACACTGTATGAAGGGATTTCCCAGCAGAGAACCCCAGCTTTGATAGACATCGTCCAACATTTACGTTTCAAAAAACGGTTAATTCAAACATTTTAAATGTTTACTGTGAATAAAATGTATATAAATCAATAAAGTCTGTGTTTTTAAGTCGCATGTTTTTGTTGATGGTTCGACTCTTCGGGACAAACGTTAGAATTTTACAAACTTTAAGTTTAAAACCTTTCTGTTTGGGTTTGAATGAACCTTTAACGGCTGAATCGGACCTTGCAGGTGAACCACTCGGTGCTGCTCAGCACCACCGGAGACTCCAGCTACCGGTTCGGAGCCACGTTCGTCGGGTCCAGACAGACGGGTCCAGCAGAGGTAAGAACTCCAAGTCCGGGCTGTGTTTACGTGCCGAGCCGTGACGTGAGGTCCGGTTCTTCAGTTTTTTCCAGTCATGGTGGGGGACATGGACAGCTGCGGCAGCCTGAACGCTCAGATCATCCACCAGCTCAGCGGCCGGGTCCGGTCCAAGCTGGCCTTTCAGGTACAAACTTCATGTTCTGGTTCTGCCTGAGGTACTGCTCCTCGTGTTGACCCGGTCTGCATATGCCCCGCCCTCAGACACAACAACACAAGTTCGTCAACTGGCAGGGAGACGCTGAGTTCAGAGGAGAGGACTTTACTGCAACTGTGACGCTCGGAAACCCCGACGTCCTCACCGGTTCTGGTACGTTGACACGGTTCAGGGAGTCCGCTTCCACACAGCAAAACGTTCCTGCCATTCTGGATCCTGTGGTGTTTTATCTGTTTCTAGTTCAACAGTAGTTCATTATTAATTCATCAGTAGTCCATCACTAGTTCATTATTAGTTCATGGGTAGCTCATCACTAGTTCATCAGTAGTTCATTATTAGTTCATCACTAGTTCATCACTAGTTCAACAGTAGTTCATTGTTAGTTCATCAGTAGTTCATCAGTAGTTCAACAGTAGTTCATGTTCAACAGTAGTTCATTAGTTTGTCAGTAGTACATTGCTAGTTCAAAAGTAGTTCATTATTAGTTCATCTGTAGTTCATCACTAGTTCCATCAGTAGTTCATCAGTAGTTCATCACAAGTTTAACAGTAGTTCATTATTAGTTTGTCAGTAGTACATCGCTAGTTCAAAAGTAGTTCATTATTAGTTCATTGGTAGTTCATCAGT